CTACTTCGACAATGTACAAGGCAGTTTTCTTCCAAGCACGTCTATTGCGGACATCTTTCAAATTCGCTTTGTTAAATCAAACGAATTTCAGCAGAGCAACATTTTTTGAAATGAATTTCATTGGAGCATCGTTGGTCGGGTGCGATTTTACTGGTGCCTTATGGAGGAAAGGAAGTGCTGATTTTACAGGCGCAAACTTGACAGGAGCAATCATATCGAATACGCAATTGGCAAGCTCGATGCTACAAAATTCCGTCTTACCGAATGGAACATGGGGGCCTATTCAAATGCAAAATTTGATTATCAACGGTGATGCCGAGCAAAACGTAAGCACAGATTTCTGCTTTCTTTGACACCGCAAATTAATTATGTCAAGATGGTTCTCAACAGAGATGGAGTAGGTAGGAAAGAGGAAGTCGGGATTGTGTATAAGATTCTATTGAGAAAAACGAACTTTTAAGGCGCAGAAATATTAAAAAATAAAGAAAGATTCCTGATTAGTTTCAGTTGTTATCTGCTCAAAAATATATAGGGCCATTTTAATGCAGAAACCGTCTCCTGTCCTTTAATGTGAAAACAAATTTCAAATCACCTAAACCGCTAGTAATACAAAACAAAGCAGTTCTGCTCTAGCAGCATTCATGCCAGCTAGTTCGTTCTTCTTTAGAAAATATTTGAAATCTTGCTTCTTTCTTTCTTCTGCTTCTTCTTCTTGACACCGTCGATGTAAATGTTAGTAAAGTGAGATTTTATGCTTTCTTTAAGATGTCTAAATTTTGTAGCCTGCATGACTCGAAAGTCTAATGGTCATGTGATAGAAAAAATGAAGTTTCATGCTATGCTATCTGCGCAGTTAAAAAAGATTGTATCTCCTTGATGTTTTAATGTTTTGGTCAACTTTGTGCCCCTGAGAAATGGCACCAGGTCGGTAACAAAGGATTCGAATGAAGTATTTTTGTACAAGATAATAATGAGAGCATGACCAGATGGATTCATAAAAAATTTCGATGTTCTAAATTATCATCGGACACTTTCACACTTTGCCCAGAAGTCGAGCTGAATCCAGTTAGACTGGTACGTTGGCTCTCTTTATTCCTCGTGGAGTTTTAAATGAAACAATAAATGCCGATTCATACGTCCGAAATTGTAGAAAGCTCGAATAAATTCCAAAACGAAATTCTCTGTGTTTCCCTATTCGCATTAAAAGTTTGCTACGGGGATCCTTAGTCGTTACTGAGAAAATTATGTACCTCAGACAGCAGCATCTATGATGCAGTCACGAAGTTTATCTGAAACGACTGAGGTGCCTCCATATCAAACTCAGAATCTCAAGTATACATAAAACGGCGAATTTTTTCGGATCTATGCAAGCTTCCAACGATTTTTTGTATTATGCTTGACGAATCGTGTAGAAATCGGCCAAATAGTTGTTGTTCTTGCTTGACAATATTTTACTTTTTAGTGTACGGCAGAAGGCAGTACAAATTTGACCAGCTGGAATGTCTCGACTCCTGGAATAATAAGCTTAATTGCGTACAACAACCAGAATTCAACAGAAAAATTCGGCAAATGTTATTTTCGAGTGAAACCGTTTTATAATTTAATCCACTCTGTATCTGCCTCCCAATATATTTCTCTAGAAAATTTTACCTTATTAATCTCTGCTGGCATTGCTCGCTATAACGCATCGGTCCATTTTCACTGTATGGGCAATCAATACGGTATCATTGAGCTGATTTTCACAGATTTTAATGGTTTACGATATTCTCCCGTTTTTCGAAGTAAAATATAGCGAAAACTTCTTTCCTTTTTGTTTTCTTTCTTTACTTTTTGTTTTGTTTAGCAATATTCGTTGGAACACAAATGGAACTTCTAACAATATCAAACAAGGTTCATTTTGAAGTTCGCAGTGTTCAGTTAAAAGTTGGATGCGTAAAAGACAACAATTTTAATGCAACTGTTGAAGATAACTTTTAGACAATGTCGAATTTTCGATTATGAAAGCTGAATAATATTGATTATTGCAAAACAAAATTAAACATAAACTTAGAGAGAACAGTTTTCTTATGGCACTAAAAGTCGAAATAAAACGGATTATGTGAAAATCAGGTTATGATCTTCCCAGTAAGCGAGAGTCTGCGATTAGAGGTGGAGTATTTCCTCTTCTGTTTTCAGCAAATTCAAACAAGTAATGCTCGCTGCTTCGCTCTGCGTTGCCCTTGACTGAATAGAAGTGCTTACGCAAGATACGCAAGACGGACATGCCACTCATTCTGACTCATCTGCCGGCTTTGCATCAACTTGGAGCATTGATCATTCATTTGGATAACAGTGCGACTGACGACACTCAGTACTGACCCTAAGTTTACTCGAGTCGGCGAGAAAGATCCGGCTCAAGCGGCTTCATGTTCGCGGCTTCTTATTCTGGAAGGATACGATTGATGTCACTGATTTATTCGCCTCTTGGTAGATCTTCAGCAGAAAGATCTACTTTTTGGTACTTCTTACATCAGCTGGAATATTCCTCTCCTAGGCTGCTTGTCGTGAGCCGTTTAAACTTTTTAATCTGCTCTGTTGAGCATATACATCAATTAGCTGATATACTATGACGTTTGGTACCTTTTCTAATGGTGATAATTGCGTACTACTATGTTTTGTAGTTCTTTCCAGGAAATTAAGTACAGTTTTCTATAAAAGTCTTTTTATTAGCTAGAGTACAGGTATCAAAGGTGAAGTCCGCATAAGACTTGAAATTGGCTCACTGACTTAACCGCTCCAATTGGTATAAATTTCTTCACAATCACATCCGGTCATCATATTCAATGATTTCGTCACTTTCGAGCGCTTTCAGTCGAATACACCTGACAGACTTTATTCGAAACCAAGAAACAATTTCGCATCAACAGTATGATTGTAAAATCAAAATTTTTCAGTAACCGCAACATCAGAGAAGTCATCCTTCAGATGTGTCGTCGGGTGATCTAGTATTCGTCTTAAGCCATTTCGAACTCCGGACATGTATCCGGGTGTCGAAAATTAATTTTTGTCCTTAAGAGATTTATGGTGATAATTCGTAAACATTTTTGTACAGGACATCGTAATGGAAAAGCAGGGAAATTGGAATGGTTTGACTGGATGTTCGGAATAGAATGCTGCTTGCTATAGCTGATGTAGCGACCGGAGATCGTAATGAGCAAGGTCGGGTGTTTGTAATGCTAGTCTAAGGGTACTTTTTACAGAGAAGATCGGAGGAATGGAATTACATTGACAGGGAGTTCGTAAAAGAATATACTGAAAGGAGATTGTAACGGATATAAAGACTATCGGTTTTATAAGAAGAGGGTTCGTTGACCAAGTACATCATAATTATATGAGCACGGGTTTTTCTTTCTCTATTTCTACTCTCTAAATTTTAAAATAATAAAAAAAAAATAATTTTTAGAAACAAGGAAATTCAGTTGTATTTTGCAGTTCACCGTCCAACTTCCGTTTTCGGTTTTTGCGAAACCAATGTCTTATTTGGAATCAGCATCAAAAACTGAATTGATTGATGTGTGTTTCATGATTTTTGGACAACTTTCATTTTTTTCGAAGTTTTCGATCGAGATTTTTGCGACTTGTTTTTGAAGATTACGATTAATGAAGTGGTGATGATGTCATTGGTTCGAATATGATTTTGGAGCAGGAAAATTGTGTCTCCTCCTAGTGATTCATCATAAAACCTTTGTTTTTGTTTTATTTTGAAGCTATGACATCTAAAATCTTTTATTTTTTGATGAAAATCTCCGTAATTTTTCGGTGTGAAATATAAATTAAAAGAAAATGAAAGTTATCGGTTAGGATGAAAGGATACGTCATTCGACTCCTTTTTTGAGGCTGATTCTGAATATGATATTTTTATTGCATAAAAAAATGAGTTCTGGTGAAGAAAAATGAGAATTACGAGCAGAAGTCTGATTTTTTTCGCTAGTGATCTCGAAAAAATGAATTTTCCTAGTGATGAAACAAAATTAAAAGAAAGCGAAACGTCTTGTTAGAGCTGACAGTTTGGCGGTTTGAATGATATAAGAGAAATGGCAAAATATATTCACACAAAAAACTAGATAGGTTTTTAAAATGACCTACTGTCGTTTTGGAGGGTCAGTTCAAGTGAAGCAGGCTAAATCAGCTTTTAGCTTTGAGATCAATCAAATCTTTTCTGTATACTCAGTTTTCAATGCTGAATTGAAAAAAGTGGGTTTCAAAACTTGAAAATAGACAAAAATGCAAAATTTGAATTTTTTGAAACTGTAATGATTTTGAGCAAAATCGGTCCTTCAGAACTTTTCAAAATTTTCACCCTCAGAAAACTTTTATAAAAATTAAAACTAACATTTTCTTACTCAGCTCGGTGTCCTCTATCCCACCACATATAAATATATAAAAAAGAAACAGTTACTGAAACTTCGTATTACGGGCGCCTTACATCTTTTTCTTTTAAGAAAACTAGTCGATGTTCATCCTGAAAAATAGGAGTTAAGAAACAATTTGTGAAAGAAACTGGTATGTATAGACAACAGAGAGTGTTATTCCGATCTCTGACATCGTACATACTCGTTTAATTGTGAAAATAATCCCTAACAATTATCAATCAGTTACATGAGTTTTTCATTACTTTTGTAGATACTGGCTTTTTAGTGACAGTCATTATGCGAGATGTCAGCATGTAATCGAAATTTTCGTACCATCCGGAACGAGTTCATAAGTTTGTCCAGCTGAACTGATAACTTCAAATCGAAGTTCATCCAGGTTACTACTGAACAAATCATTGATGTCACTGTCAATATGCATTGACTGGTTGCTTTGTTTTATAGTGTTCTCCGTTTCATTGATCATTGTGAAACTTTGCATATCAATGGCCGCAACATCTTCGATCGTCACTTGTTCTCTGACTAGTTGTTTCCATAGTGAAACGAGAAATTTCAAATCTAAATAATGTTTCTTTCGTATCGCCATGCCCATCAATTGTCCAATCGATATTGTTTTTTCACTCGATTTAGAATCGGTTTATTGAGCGGAAATACATTCGGAATCCAACGATCACGAGTCAAATCACTGTTTGTCCGTCCATTTGGACACAGAATGAACAATGGTAATTGTGTACTACATATATCAGAACAAATACGCGATATAGAATCACGATAGGGTCCACCTTGATCAGTACTATGGATTGCAAGATATTGTGCGCTCCATAGGCGATCGTTCTGTTTTCGAAACGTTAAATGGGTATCGTTATGCAACTGCTCGTAAGCTTGACTGAACATAGTATGTAAGCCATGATCGACGATAGCACTTGCTCTAACTGTATCAAAATTGACTGTGGGCATATCATCGGATTCTGTGGTAACGGCTAGGGTTGTGCTAAACAATTGAAATTTCGTTGCGTATAACATGTATGCTCTGGCTGTTCGAATTTTATCTATCAGAATACTCTGTCCTGGGAATAGACTGAAATCGACAATTGATACAAGTTTTGCCACAAACATACTGAAATGATAGAGAAGTTTTGCACGAGTTTGGATACAAATGGCTGGAATGTGCCATAAGGATGGATAGGTTTTGTAGTATGCTGGATTTGGTATGGATTCGGTCGGTAGACTATTGATGAACTCAATGAATGAAGGACTCATGAGCGGACTACTATTCATAATCAGCTGTAAATCAGCATATGTATCGAAATGACTGTTCGATTTTTTTTTAGTTTTATCGATCAAAGCATTGATAACATCGATAACCGTCAGTAGATCATGGAAACTTCGAGAAAATTGAGAAAAATCGAATTCCAATAATTGGTTTTGTTGTTCATTTGAATGGGTTGTTATATTTGTCGTAATTTGTTGATATTTTTGTCTCTCCAATAGCAGAAACACTGAGTCCATGAGGGCTATTTGAAATGTTTTCATCATTCGACTATTCATCGATGTTGGATTTGGGGGCAATTCAACGAATAAATGGAACAGGAAATGTTGAATATGTCTGCTTAAATTGAAATTGTTGCTTGTTTACATTAAGCTGAAAAGAAACGAGATCTTCTGTTAGATTATTCGTGGGTGTTTCCACGTAGGTCCGCCCAGATTTACAGCGACTTCAACCTGGCAGAGTTCCATTGTGCTTAGATTATAGCCTGTGTTGAGTTAGATAAGGTCTACATCTCGAGTTTTTAAAAAAGTTGTGCCGAAAGTGGCGGGGGCAGGCTCACAAAAGTCAGTTTTGCCAAAAAAATTCACTGGGGAACGCTCACTAATGATCTAAAGAAAGGTTTTCGTAAAAACCTGAGACAGCCATTCGACAAAGCTCGGAAAGTTGTCTATAAGAACTAATTTTCAAGGGTTACAACTAGCAACGGGGATCGGTGGCAAACAACATTGACTTTGAGCCCGATTTTCTCGACAACTACATGTCAGATTTTCGTCAAATTTTGTCTGGTAAAAGTTTTAAATAGCACCTTTGGCAACTTCGTGAGATCAAAACCAGCTCGAAAATCAGTTTTCGGCCTGACCACGTAACGGTTTCCTTTTATGTCACAGTCGACATACAAAATCTGACAAAAGTAAAACCGCCAATTTTTAGAGCATGCTTGACTACCTATTGAACGCTGGTTAGAATTTTTGTGTTGCGTTTCTTTAATGAGATACTATAGCAGAAAGTAATGGGTGTCTCTGAGCAAAATCTGTCACTATAGACACACATGTGTTCAAATACTTACGTATGATTCTGTTGTTATTATATTTGTTTTCTTTTTACGTATATCAAAAGTAACAATGTTAACGTATATTTTGAACTATATTTGGCTTTATTTTTCTCGTGCTATCTTTATGTAGAGAAGAAATCAAATATGGTCACTGCATGTATCATTCCGTGATGAAATAACTGTTGAGGTTTAATTTTTCTTGGCTTCTAGAGCCGTGTAAAAGAAAATGTCTGACCTAATGCTAATTTTTGATGGTCTATCTAATGTAATAATTAGTTTATGAGCGAAGTGTTTCCTTTATTGAAAACAGACCGTCACGAAATGACAAAGTCATAACCGAACTCTTTTGTAAAAGAAATGCTTTTGCCATTTTTTTGCCCAAAAGAATTTATGATTGATTTAGTTTGCAGTGAAAATTATGCGCTAATGTATAGACTTCTTTCGGTTGCTTTATAACTGAAAATCTGATGGCTGTAGTTGTTGAAATTCTTATTTATTTCATTCAACGCTTTCAACGCTTTCAACGTTTTCAACGCTTTCAACGTTTTCAACGCTTTCAACGTTTTCAACGCTTTCAACGTTTTCAACGCTTTCAACGTTTTCAACGCTTTCAACGTTTTCAACGCTTTCAACGTTTTCAACGCTTTCAACGTTTTCAACNCGTTTTCAACGCTTTCAACGTTTTCAACGCTTTCAACGTTTTCAACGCTTTCAACGTTTTCAACGCTTTCAACGTTTTCAACGCTTTCAACGTTTTCAACGTTTTCAACGTTTTCAACTTTTTTTGACTTATCTATTGTGAAAAAAAACATTATTTTTGTTGTTAGAATAAAAAGCATGTATATAGAATAATCAGTACTGAATGAAATAAGCTGTCGAACACATTGATGTCAAGTTTTCAAGTTAACTGTGTTTAAGACGCAGAACAGAAACTCGGTCATTCGAAGCATGGAAAAATAATGTCATTCCGTGACGAAAATGTCATTCCGTGACGATAGTATTTCGTCTATATTTCGAAAACGAAACATAGATTTGAAATTCTATTTTTTTCCATAGACAACCCAAAGTCTAGGCTATAATTTTTCTATAGATCACATTTCTTCAAACTGTAAGGATGAGCTGAGTTTTGAACATCTTTATACAGCACCGAAAGCAGCATTCCATGACGGCCGATATTTTTTCTATAAAAAATTATCCATACCACGAAGTAAAGTAAAACTTTAGGATGTTGTAGAGCTTGATGACCCCGATATGTGCAGAAAGTTTGAACTTCCCAGCTGTCACCGTTACAAAGAAAACTAGATTGAAAGAAGAAAAAGTGTCATTCCGTGGCGTTTGGTCAAGTCGCTTTCTAGGAGATCTGCAGAAACCCAATTTTTCGAAACTCTTTTTCAACAATTTTATAAAATAGAATGGCCAATTATCTTTCGAATGAGACGTCTTTGAGCTCTATTGGGTGATTTTCGGCAAGGTAACTGACATTACAGGACCGGGGTGCTGCACGACGCTTTTAGATCGTTCCACGTTAAAAATGCAATTTTGCGACAATCACAGGCAGTTAAAAGCTCAAAGATTCGATCTCACAAATGGTCTGCGCTGTGCTCTTTATTTTCCTCCGTGAGAAACTCCGAGAATTTTGAACAAAAAAACGTGCACATTTGTCTTCCGTGAAAGACAATGTTTTCACATACCCAGAAAATAAGTGAAGAATGACTATTTTCGATTGATGCATTGGACTTAAGAGAAATAGATCAAATAGTAGGTTGATTAACGGTACCGGAAACAAGAGTGGAACAAGAAAATCGATTTCGTTTTGTTTTATTGTGGATTTATCGGTCAGCAATTTGACGAATAGATTGACTAATTTAAGAATGAAATTAAAATTCGGTTGTTTGATCATTGATTGCTTATCGATCACTGTTGATTCGTCACCATAATCATAGAATAATAATGATGGGTTCGATAAAAATTGAATCGATTGAACAATGACATCCTTTTGTAATTGATAAAGTAAGGGAGCTCTGTGTTGTAGTATTTCACTAGTAATCTTATCGTGTGTCGTCGTATGATATTTGAGTAATTCGTTTGTTTCGACTTTCAAAATTGAATTAACTAACAAACTCATTGAATCAACATTTTCATCTGTATGTTGGGAGATCCCCAGGGGAATCACCACAACAAGTTTTAAACATAAATAGCTGGGGTTTTTTCCGTATTCTTTCCTTCAGTTTTCTTCAAAAAAGGTTTTGTCACGAAAAAATAAAATTGAAAGCATATGACAAACAACGACAAGGCAAAATATCCATTGATGAAGAAGAATAAAGGATAAGAAACAAGGGTTGCTTCCCATTTTGCAAGCAAATTACTGTTTTCACACCGTCTACATTTTCCATTTTGCAAGCAATTTCGTATTTCCGTAGTTTAAGCATTTCCCGTTTTGCAAGCAAACATTTTATCAAAAATTTTCCCATTTTGCAAACAAGTAATTAACAAAAAAATGTATATATTAGAAAGATAAATATATAGTACAACAATATGTACTACTCCGCGTCTTTTCCACCAACGTTATGTATGAACCGATAGGCAGTTTTCCTTACGTGTTCTAGATGTTTTTTTATATCAATTGCTCCAATGGTTAAAGCTTTTTGCCAAACATAGGGCAATATCGTTCTCTTCGTTTCCTTTCCGACGCTTTTTAGACGGTGATCCAGTGTTGGATTCTAATATATCACGGCACTGTGCGAAATCTTCTTCTTTGCGAATTTGTTCTATCCGACGATATAGGTTGGGATGAGTTGGTACACGTCTGCAAATGCAAAAATAAGTTAATAAGCTGTAGTCCAAGTACAGATTTCTAAGTAACCTTACAAATTCTTGAAGTGTTATGTGAAGTGGTTGATAACCATGAAGCAAGTTTATGAGTTGAAGATAAGAATGTTGATCTAGTGTTGATTCGTTTTTCCAGTTTAGTTAAAATAGAATATGCATTTTATATGGAGAAGAATCAAGCGGATGGCTTCTATAGTGTCGTCTCGAAAAATGAAAGTTTCGTTAAAAAACTTTAAGAATTACTCGAATAAAAATTTCTTAGCGGCACTGTCGATACGTTATTCGATTGGCCTATAGAAGCTCAACGGCTTTTCTAGAGAATTAAGTTCTTTTAATCGGTATTCAAGGTTAATAATCGGGACTAGCAGAGAAAAATAAATTAGATTGCCTGTAAACAGTAGCTAATGTATCGTTGTCGAAATTCGAACGTAGATAGTCCTAATTTTTATTTTATCTAATTGTATCAGTGGCGGTGAGAAGAAAGAGAAGAAATGGAAATAATCGATTAAGCCCATGACAATCTGAGGGAGCTTATTCATTTGCAACTTATTTATCGGGAGTTTGTACTGATGTAGTAGGTGTAACAGAAGGACATTGAGCTGTCCGAATCTCATTATTAGCAGGATTAGATCCACATGCTCTCTGTAAATTGGAGAATAAACGTGCGATTTTTTTCGAACATGTACTGCCACTCTGAAGTTTAAATGTGGAGCAAAAGAGTTGTTTTTCCGAAAGAGAATTCAAGAAAAAAGTCTTTGAATAATTCTCAAAAGCTTGACCCATACATTGAGAAAACATTTTTTTCACATTTCCTGTGCGCAACCCGGGAGTAACGTATATTTGTCTTATGCTGCAGGTGAGAGCTATAGAGCCATGGTCTGTTTTGGCGAGAGAAATCGGAAGTAGAGAAAACTTCATATCTTGCATACAATAAGTGTGACTTTTTTCTTAAGCAAAATTGAAAACTGAAAAGCCTCCAGCACTCTGAAACGTTTTTTTGGGGCAGTTTTACCTTGCCTTAATTACATTGCAAAAGAAGTGTAATCAATAATTATCCATTCAAAATAAAATTGAGCTTGTAATCCTCTAAATGAACTTATCTTATGCAGAAGCCTCCTTATTCAAATTACTAATGTAGGCTAAGTGCATTTAGAAGATTACAAGCACAATTTTTATTTAGAATGAATAATTAATGATTACAATTCTTTTGCAATGTATTTAGAGCAAGGTAAAAGTACCCAAAGAAAACACCTAAGGTCGTAGCAGCGGCGTCCCTCAGCCGTTAGACCACAAGTTCAAGTTATATAGAAGGAGACGAGAAGAGCAAAGGAGTAAACAATAAATAATACACAAACAAAC